AATTAGCTTGAAAGGTTAAGTGAACGCTTTTTTGTATTTCATGAATTCTTCACCCTGTATTTCACGATTTTAATAACAAAAATTCCTCTAGTACGACTTTTTGTTTATCTTGGATCGTATCTAATACCTGCATCATTTAGTACAATACAAGTAGTGTTTTATATAAACAATCGCTTCATTCTTGTCGATTAAGTTGGTAAAATTGAGGTGTGAGTGTACTTTTCTTCCATGAAAACTTTCATATAAACATTTTAAAGTCCAAATTCCACATTATTCCACTTTGTTTTTTAATGATCCATATTGTTTTGATAACAAAGGTGATAAAATATGTCTTCAAAGAGTTCAATTATTTTTACTTCGGGAATACTCGACTTTTTAAAATCTAATTAAAGCATCGTAGTGCGCAACACTTTTCTTTTAAAATAAATGAATTTATTAGAATTGTCATACATTTCTGAACAAATTTATTTTTTATTTCGCTAAAACTCTGCTGGGGTGAATGTTGGGTGGAATCTTTCAGCGACTTATTCTAAATCGAATAAAAATATTTGAATACGTTTGATACCACATTTAAGAAAAACACGCAGTACATTTCTCTAAATACTTATATAGCATTGTATGAAAAAAATAACATTACTTGAAGTGCGATTTCAAAACATCGGTCATGTGGTTTTCTAAAAATAATTTCTCTCAGTCCAGTTTTTTGACACGAGCTGATTTACCATTGTTGTGAATTGCGTAGTAATTTTTTCGAATAGAAAATTTAGTTTTGTGACCAACCTTTGTGTCTTACCAGCAGTATTACTGATAAAGTTGATACTGTCTTTATGCCGAATAGAAATCAAAACAATTATTTGGCTAACTGCCATACCATCAAAATGCACGAAATGCTCAATCTTTTTTAAAGTTTAATGTTTCGCAGTAGTCAATAACTTATAATATTCGGATTTGTGATAGTAAAAATGATTGGGTCGAGAGGATATAGATATTTGGGAGGTAAATAATGTTTTATATATATTATTGATAGTACTTGATGGTTTATTTTGAAGTTAAAGTTATGATACTTAATATTAACTTTTTTGTACTTCGTATCTAATGACTATGTATAATAGTCACTAATGTACTAACGTATCCAGTAATGAMTAAGCATAATATATGCATATTTTGAAGAGTTATTTCTTTAYTAGATATGTTTCTACGTTCTAGCTTGTAATGCATCACGTTAAATTTTTGAACTGATTTGCTGAAAATTAATATTTTTTTTAGCACCCGTACCCATGTATCTAACAGAGCAAGGACTCTATGATATAATTGATGAGTGTGAGACCACGGAATGTTACTCACCGCTAATACGAACTTTGGGTGAAATATTTAGTAGCATTGAAAATTTATCTAAAAGTTTCGTTCAGGAATCTACACCTACTACATCACCAACCATGGATTCAGGTAAGTTATATTGCCGTAACTTGCAGATAATACGGAATTATTATTTTCTTATGCTTTTATCGGTTAGTAATATGCTGTATTCGTTGTTTTAGCGGAAAATAAATGTTTAAATAAAGAAGAACTGAGACATTTAGAAGGTGAAAAAGACAAAGATGAAGATTCATGTGCCGAATCTAGCAGCACAGTAATTCTTCCTGTTGATTTGTCGTCAGTACGACGAGCATACAACGACCTTTTTAAATTAAAAACGTCAATATTTGAAAATGCTTTGGTCAACGCTTTGGTCACCTTAGCAGGCAATTTACAAATGGAATTACCAACTAGGAAGGAAAAAGACAATCATGACGATATTGTTAATGTATTGCTGATCGTTTTTGAAATACCAGCTTTGGGTATGTAGATAAAACTTGACTACATTGTATCAAATATTCTTGCATCTGATCAAACCAAAAGAATATAGTTTTTCACAAATTTATTTAGTATCAAATTTTAGTTTACTTCATTAATTGGCCCTCCATCCTAACAATTAGAACTGTTCTTATATTTTTTCAGGTTCCGGAGATTTTCTTGAAACCGCACTTCCTGCAATTTGTAGAGCGTCCCAATGGTTGCCCGTTGAAGTTCAAGCAACTTTAGCGCGGATGTGGGCAGGTCCCGGACGACCTTCCATTCGCAACATTCTAGAAAACTTGCAGCAGCTTATCACTTTGAAAGTTATAGTTACTCCTTTTCATCGCGATTTTTTCATCCAAGATGAAAACGTCATTACTTCTGCAACCAAACTGGTCAAGGTAAATACGCATAATTTACAAATACAGGGTGATTCAAAATTGCCGTCATTCTTTTTAAGGGGTGATAGAGGCTCCCTTGGGAGTAGGAGAAAAATATTGAAAATTTTTTTTCCGAAATTTTCTAGAAGATATTAACAGTTGAAGATCGAATTTCAACTTTGTTATTAAGCATTATTTTAAAATTGTTCTATGTTTAATTGGTAGCATATTGGA